GGGCCTGGTTCATGCGCAGTGGCTGCCATTTGGCAACTGCCAAAAGTCAAACTCGGCCAAAAGCCAAGAGGGCCGAGCCCAAGGACCGACGGAACGTGGTGGCAGGGAAACGGTCGGCAGTGGAACTCCACAATGTTACGACTACAGAGCGCCTAAACGCTCCCACTTGCATAATGCGCCAAATCTCGTTGTTTATATCTCGAACTGGTCGTGAACTTTTGAAATGGAGATTTACGGCCAAAGTTTTGGGAATCCGTTACTCCCGCTCAGATCCCCATTTCACAGAACTGGGAACTCTAATTGGCTAACTTGCTGGCCAGGGGCCGCTGGTCAGCCAGCCATCCAGCGTTCGACGGAAATCACCTGTTGATTTCCACTGCCGGATGGCCGGGCCTTAATTAAAGCCCAAGTCCTCTCGCCGGGCCAAATGAACTAAAGCTAGGTCAGATCTGGACCAGACAACGTTTCCTATCTTCTGCGCAAAAGTTTAACTACGATAAGTGAACAGCACCGGATAGAGAGTGAAACAAATTAATCCACTTTGCAGAATTTGTCAAAGCCGAGCAACGCTGGCGGGTCAAAGAGGTGAGGCACGTTAACTTATTTGATTCAATGTGACAGGCCTAGTGAGATGATGACAGCCAAAACTTTGGCCAAGAAGGCTGGCTTCCTAAGTCAACTAACGACTGACAAAGACGTGTTTTATCTGCAATTGTAAAATAAACCTTATATGTTTTAAACACAATTAATTTATTTATTTATTCGCAAACCATTTCATATTATTTTCTGGCCACTAAGCATTATTTATGACTAGTAATTTAATTCTTAACTTAAATTATAAATTTTTACTATATATTAATGAAGTTTATATATTTTGTCAAAATCATAATTTACAAAACAAAAATAATTTTCTTAACTAAAGGAAACAAGTTATTCCAACAGTAGTTAAAGGGATATTCACTTAAGCTTCAATGCATTTGTTTTATAATTTAGTTTTTAATTGGGCACCAATTGAGCATTACATACTTTAGATTAACAAAAATAAATAATTCTTGAGACAATGGCCAAGTGAATAACAAATTTTCACTCTCCGTCCGTAACATGGTGTCTGGTCAAACCTGAAGTAGCCGGTCCTGTCCATTTTCGTATTAAATTATGCAAGCTGAGACAAGCAGCTCAGTAAGTAAATCGGAGCGTAATAAACAATAGACAGATAGGCATACAAGGCGCACCAGTAATCGGTGCTAAGCAGTCGGACTTTGGCAAATATAACATTTTCAAATGGTACACGGAAAACCTTTTACTTTCCCCATATTGTTTGTTAGTTAGCGGGGCTGTGAAATATTTACAGAGGGAGAGGGAGAGGTTGTTGGGAGAAATCGGGTCACTGCCAATGCAAAGTCGAGGAAAAGTTGGCAACAACAAGTGTCCGGGACAAGGATTATTACAAGGATTCAGTGGGCGCACTAGCAGCAGGGTCCTCATGCTGACGCCAGTCCCATTGTTGGCGCTAATGACACTTTTATAACTTTTTATAGATTTTCCACACATAATGTGAACTCTAGGGCCATTTATCGTGGCAGTGCCGACAGCGACAACAATCCTTTTTGTACGGCAGCATAATAGTACATATAGTAAACGCCAGCGACGTTTATTTCGCCTTTCTTTTCGAAACTTATTTACGAGACTGTGTGAAAGAAACTGCCGGATTTACAGAGCCGTGTGCACGGGTGTATCTCGCATCTAGTATCTAGTATCTAATGGCTGTGTGTGCCGAAGTGGCTTGCCCCAGGGCGCCCACGGCGCATATACGCATCGTGGCGCATACGAAACAGGAACGAAACAAACAAGCCGCAATATAATTTCGCAACAACTTTCAAATGCTAAGCATGAACAACTTTTAAACTTACCCCCCACACACACATGGGGATCTAGGTAGTGAATCCCTCCATAGTAACGTGGATGCGTGACAAGTTAAATTTAGAGAAGGATAAATATAGGTAGGTATGGGTAAATAAGCAAAATCAAAAGTAATAATGTTGATATTTGAGCAACCCACATTAATTATTTGGGGTTTTTCAAGAACAAATTTGATTTGATTGGTCGATGATGGCATGCCTTAAGCAGCTTTAAGCTTAAGGCATGCCATCATCGTCATCCGAAATCATTGATTATGCTGTTTACGCTATTCGTTGCTATTGTTTGGTTACTTTAATATTCTTATGTCCAGAAAAATCACTGACTCTTGTCAAATCCAAGATTTGTGGCCCAAAATACTCAATAAAGGCACATTTAAATATCTTGTCCGAGCAGAAATATAAAAAACAAAATAAAATGAAAGCTTTTGGCGACTTTAAGTCCGTCAAAGAACTGCAGGGTTTTTTTATTATAGTGTTTATTTAGACATGATCATCACTTTCCAGCAGATGAAGATAACAACGCCTGATTTCAATAAACAATTGCTCTTAAGCGAAAAACAATCCTGAGTAGTCTATTAGCCTAGATTAGGACATAAATGCTTGCGAAATGTTTATGGCAAATTGACCAAAATATTCAACATGCAACAACGAGTTTCCTAGATAACTTGCCATTTACATTTAAGTAGTTCAGTTGTTCTTTAACATATAACTTTCTTAGCCTACCTCAATAGTGTTGATAGCAAGAGATTAAATTATATCTTTCTAAGCTGCAAGTAGTAAATGAAAAAGTAGTCTATTTATATTGTATTTTTTATTATTGCTGTATACGGCAGTACACGTAGTGACGATGGCGACTGCTGTATGCACCCGCAGAATTTAAAATATGCTGTGATGGTCCGATCGGAAGAAGTAATACACCAATCCAAGAGTAAAATATGATAATATTCTCCAACGATGTTGTTATGATGAATACTTTTTCGTCGCCAAATATAAACCAAATTCACGATTTTTTTCCTCGCAAATATACTCCATAATATTGGGCTTTCAAATGCCACACGAACGTTGTTGATTGCGATTGAATTGAATTGAGGTCCAACCGACAGGAACTGTCGCAGTCTCAGCTGACTTGAAATGCTCTAACATTGGGTGAGGTGAGTATACTTTTTAATTTCACTTACAACACAGATGGTTGAAATACTGGCAATTTATTTACCAAGGGCATCTGTAAAGGTACTTTAACATGTCGATGTACCTTTGCACTGCAATCTGGGCACGTGTTTGCAGCTTTTAAGTTGCTGGCGAATTTTTTCTGCCCTCCCTTGAAAAAATTCACTGCGAAAAACGGCATCATATAAGATAGTTATTCCAAACATTAATTTATGGTCCTTTTTGAACTGTTAAAAGTTTGTTTAGTTACACAACAATATTGGTATATTTGTATTAAGATAACTTAACATCAATATATTCCATTTTGGAACACAAAAAACATGTTTTAACAGAGATGCATAAAGTATAGCTATATCTTTGATATAGTTTAATTCAAAAATCATAGGCTTTAAAAAAATCTTGTAAATAATCTATTATTGCTAACACTTTTATTCTCTATGTACATCCAAGGACATTATACCAAAGTTTATATATACATATATATACATATATGGACTAACATTTGTTAGCGGCATTTGTGACTGGTTGGCTTTTGTTCAAAAGTACAAGTTGCATTTTTGCCCGCCATTTACTCCTCCTTATGACAATGCCAGGACCTGCAGGCGTTGCTCCTACAGTTGTCGGTACTGTTGCTGTGCCAATATCCTGGCATCATCACCATTGTTATTGCTGCAGTCCAAACATGCGCCTGCTCGTTAGCTGGATACCAGTTCCAGCGAGCCCTGTTTTTTTTGCCCCACGACCCTGTTTTCGCAATAAACCTTGACATTTGATCAAGACCATTAAGGGTAGGGTAGATGGAAGCCTTTAGATTAAAGTTGACCACCTGCTTTTGGCATCGTTGATTTTATTTTGTCTAAAATCTTTTTCCTTAGACGGTGCCAATTTTAAATGGCAAACGACTTTACTACTATTAAAAGTCTACTAGTAAGCAAATTGATATGAAACACAAACAGTTGTCCGACGATGAGTTGGAATTGATTAAATTAATTAACGCTCAATTAGGCATGATGATTTCGCATACTGCCGATTGTAAATAAATAAATACATCTGCATTGTCAATAAATCTTTTATTTATAATTGCGCGCGCTCATAAATTCTGACAAATTGTTCGCACTCTCAAAATATTATTATGTATGTATTTATAAATAATCTTAATTGGTGTGCCATTTTAATTTCCGCTTTAGGTGCAGCAATAAGCCAGCAAGGTTTACTCTGCCATCAATTAAATTATTTATGCGTTGTTGCAGATTCGGGTCTCTCTATAATTTAAAAGTATTTAATATTGAAGCGTATCACATTTAATTAATAAACCGATTTAAATTTAAGTTAAATGGTAACAGGCATGGACGGAAATAATTACACATCAAAATAAGTTGTTTATTGAATTCTGTATTTCATTGTCTGCAATCTACATCTTTATTCTGAAATTTGAATCATGAACTGACTGCAAAAAAGTCAGGTAGAAAATCAGCTTCTGTTAAAAGGTTTTATTCATTTTTAACAGAATAAGAATAACTATAGTGGAATATGTATCTCGGGTTCGGCGTAAAATTAATTTTTAAGTGACTTTTTAATTACTTTTTTTCGCTTTTTGCATTTAACACTCGATAACTGGAATGTTTGTATTTAAAATCAGTTCTAATCTAATTCGAAAACTGAATTCCATAGACTCTTTATTATTCAAACCCACCTTGTATTTATTAAAACTTATTAATACAAGTCATTTATCATTTAAAACAGTTCTCTCATTCAATTTCAGCAAATAAGTGAAACATTCTGATTTTGCAATATTCATTAAACGTTCTTACTTGGCACTCAAAGCTTAGAAACTGGATTGACAAGATATCTCAACGTATCTTTGCAACGCTTATAAAAGGCCGTTCAGATTGATCATATCTTAGTACTACAATCGTTTGAGTACAAAGATGTGGGCCCCCGTGTCATTGATTTTGCTGTCGACTTTCACCTTATGTAAGTAAAACTAAAACTAACTAGTTAATTGAAATTGAAAACATTTAATGTTTAAAATATAGCAATCCAAGACGCTTCAGTTGGCCAAGAATGTGGAAAATTCAATGAGGAGCAGTTCCAGAGTAAAAACATACTTACGGAGCTGGACGAGCATCCATGGGTTGGACGTATCGAAAATAAGGATAGCGATGGAAAAAATAAACTGATCTGCATTGGCATTCTAATAGATGCCCGACATTTGGTGACAGCCGCCCACTGTTTCATTAATTCTGCCAATGATATTTTTAGTGTCGTTTTTGGCAACGCAGACTCCAGTGATGGCAAACTTGTCAGCTCGGTCACCATCCATCCAGATTATACACTTGGAAAACCCGAAAAGGACTTGGCCATAATCGAGCTAACCAAAGACGTTGAGTTTACAGACTTCGTTCAACCCATTTGCCTGCCTTCGGCGGAGAATCGCAAAAGTGATCTCATCGTTGCCGGATTCGAGGGTCACTCTTATAATCCGGAAGTTGTAAGACTGGACAAACGCATCAAAATGCCATTCAATAGAACAGACAGCAATGAGTGCCACAAGCTGCATAAGCGTTTCTCGGCGGAGTTGATTTGCGGCCACGCCGAGAGGTTACCCTTTTCTGGATCAGCTTTGGTTGAGGCTTCTGGGAACCCCCGGAAATTCCATCTCATCGGGATGGCAGTGGTGGGCTTTGGCTCGCCCACAGGGTGGTACCAGGGATACCTCAATATTCGATCCAACCTAGATTGGATACAGCGGAATACCTCTGGGTGAAGAAGACGAGTTCACAACTTTTCTCATTAGTAACAAGATTTTTAATTTTTGGCGCCCAAGCTGTGACTTCTGACAGGTTGATTTATAAATAAAGAAGCAAATTCGTACACCAAGTTTGTGGTTATCCATTTGGCCGCATTTAGTTGCTGCTGCTAATAAATTGGAAACGCTTTCAGGTTGTTTGCATAAAGTTGCCGGCTCCTGACCCAAACCCAAATGCATAAATCACGCGAAGCCCCAGAACACAGTTGGGCTCCCAGCCTTTGGTTTGTCGCCTGCACGAAATTAAATTTCCACCCACCGCATCCTTCACCTTTTGGCCCCTCGCAACTTTGGCCATTAGACAACCGTGGGCGGTTGCCACTCCCACTCCCACTGCTCGACCTTCTGAATTCGCCTGCCTTCTGTTTTGGCCAAATGCAGTATTTCGACACTTGGCTGGCGCCAAAAACCTTAAGTGCATATCAACTAGGAATAATTTATGTTTGGCTGGGGCCAAGCAACTCGCTTTTCATCTTCTCCATAGCAGCCAGTGCATCCAGTGCCACCGGAAACCTTATCGAGTAGCAGCCATGGAATATGCAAATGTGCGAACAGCTGCGACCATAAATTCATTGAAATGAATACTCGTAATCGAGGCACTCACACTCGAGTGCGAGATTTACACTGGCAGTAAATCATGCCTAATTGTCGCCAAAGCAGGAGTACTGATCGCAGTAGCCGAAGGATTCAGAATTCAGAGAAGTCATCAACAAGCGATTGGGTAGCGCATACGCCCCGTGGCCCGAAATGATTAATGTGCCATAAAATGCGCGCGCCAAAAACATTCACAGCTTACAGACCCTAACACGCGAAATCCGCACGCAAAACAAACGCAAACGCAGAAGCGAAGCCAAATTAAAATACACATTTTTATGGCACATTTTTATTGCAACACGTAAAACACAAATTGAGACAAGATGAAGTGGTGTGAAGTGGAGTGGAAGTGTAGGCCAATTGCTTGTGGCTGCTACAAGCAATTACAATTTAAAATGCAACGCACATAAAATGCACGGAATGTCTTTTTAAACGATAACGAGCTGCAATTACAGGGCAAATCCCTCCCCCGACAATCAACTCAGTTCATATCCGACTTTGTGGCTGTACGGAATGCTAAACGGAATGCAAAGCAATATGCTTTTATCCATATCGGTTAATCTCTCGATCTCAGACATCCCTGACCTCCTACATCCTTTTGATACCTTCGATTTGCAGACTCTAATTTGGCCAGCAGTCCAAGGGAGTGCTCGAATGTGAAGCCGGTGATTGGAAAGGATGACCAGGATCAACTCAGTTGGCTGGGCCGCATCAGATACACCAATTCTTGGTTATACAGTCAACCGGATCTTCGTTCATCCCAAATACCGCTCTGCACAGACTTCCTGCTAAACTATACTCCTGTCCGAGGACATGGCTATTCTTATCGTCATAACGATTTCAGAAGTGGAACTCAAGGAACTTCACCAGCTACAGGTTATTCCTGGAGCAAGTTCCATTTTCCCAAAATATCCAGCCCATATGTCTCCTGCAGCCCGGAGAGATTAAGTCGTCTTAGACTTATAAAATATCCAATTAATTAAATATTTAATTATATGTTTTTAAAAGTCGGACATTTCACTAAACAATATTCTTCATTCATTTACAAAAATTTGAAAATAACGTCTGGCTTAAACCTTTTCAACGGCGTTGCCACATCGCGAGACTAATCGATACAGTGCGACCTATCGATATGCGGCAAGTATCGATGAGCTATCTGCACTTGAGTGTGGATAGCATCACTGAAGAAGAAGAATTTCCCTCCAAAATAGTTGGGTTTATTTTGCCAAAAGCGAGCTTTGAATTTGTTTACCAACCGAATGAGAGAACCAGCTCGATGAGCACCATTCTAGACAACTTCCAACGCGCCGAGAAAATCGGCGAGGGCACCTACGGAATAGTTTACAAGGCGCGGAGCAACGCCACCGGCCAGGATGTGGCGCTCAAAAAGATCCGGCTGGAAGGGTGTGTAGTCCGCATCGTAGTGGGGTTCCCCAGTTCGCCACAAAGGAATTACCTTTTTTACATAGCCATGAATGATTATATCCTGGCATCCTGGGCGTGCCCTTGGCGAATGTCATTCACCTGCACCCCGCAGCCCGGATTCTGTGGCGGCTGCGCTGCTTCTACTATCAAAATCCGTAGCACCACATGATTCGGCTTCGTGGTGCAGGACAGCACCGGATTGCATAGTCAGAGTTACCAATGGTTATCTTTATTTATTCATATGCCCTGCCTAACATTAGATTTTCTCCTTCCAGTGAAACGGAGGGCGTTCCCTCGACGGCCATTCGAGAGATCTCCCTGCTGAAGAACCTGAAGCACAAGAATGTGGTCCAACTATTCGACGTGGTCATCTCCGGCAACAATCTTTACATGATATTCGAGTACCTGAACATGGACCTTAAGAAGCTGATGGACAAGAAGAAGGATGTTTTCACACCACAGTTGATAAAGGTTTGTTGGACTCTTCTCTCATCTATGGAGTAATCGCAGTTATGCCCTCTTTCCAGAGCTATATGCAACAGATCTTAGATGCTCTCGGCTTTTGCCACACCAATCGTATACTGCATCGCGATCTCAAGCCCCAAAACCTACTCGTAGATACTGCTGGCAAAATAAAGGTACGATTATAAGGCTTACCATCTTAGTGATCTGTTAATCACTCCCTTTTTAGTTGGCTGACTTTGGTCTGGCCAGGGCTTTCAATGTGCCCATGAGGGCCTACACCCACGAAGTTGTCACCCTTTGGTACCGAGCTCCGGAGATTCTGCTGGGCACCAAGTTCTACTCCACGGGCGTGGACATCTGGAGTCTGGGCTGTATTTTCTCGGAGATGGTAGGGCTGTCGTGAACTTTAAATAGCGTCTTTTGACTGAAATTTACCTTACAGATAATGCGCCGCTCCTTGTTTCCCGGAGACAGCGAGATCGACCAACTTTATAGGATATTCCGCACGTTAAGCACCCCCGATGAAACCAAATGGCCAGGGGTTACGCAGCTACCGGACTTTAAGGCCAAGTTCCCCAAGTGGGAGGCCACCAATATGCCCCAGAGCATAACCGAACACGAGGCCCATGAACTCATAATGGTGGGTGGCGTATAATCTAATCCGTAGCTGTAATCCATAGTTCTCCACTTTACAGTCCATGCTGTGCTATGATCCCAACCTGCGCATCTCTGCCAAGGACGCCCTGCAGCACGCCTACTTCCTCAACGTGCAGCATGTTGACCATGTGGCCCTGCCCGTGGACCCCAATGCCGGCAGTGCCTCGCGCCTAACGAGGCTCGTCTGAGCGTGATCCATAGTCCCAGGTCTAGCAAATTACTTGTGATCTTTAGTATAGTAAGTTCAATGTCTACCTCACTAACTTTAAGGCGAAACTAGTGCAATTATATGATTCGAACCTAACCTCTCTTGCAGCTGCCAGCTCCATTTCATGCATTTCCCACCCTCAATTGCATCTAACACACACGATAAATACACGATCATCCATCCATACGTAAAGAGTTTATTCAAGAAAGTTTAGGCCGGATCACCAGGCGCTCAGTCGGAAGAGGCGTCGTTGATGATGGCGGGGCGAGACTTTGGCGCCGGAATCGCGGGCTCCTGCTGCTCCATCGCTTGCGAGCCTCTGGCGCTGGCGGGTGTGGCTGTCGTCGCGCATGTACGTGCCCAGGGTATTGCGCATGCTCTCGGAGAGTGGTGAGTTGGCTTCCATATCGCCATCGTCTTCATCTTCATCGTTAGACGTTGCATCGCTCGGTGCGCTGCTGTCGGTTTCCTCGACTGCATCTTCGTTCTCAGTGGTCGGTTCTGGCCTGCTGACTTCTGTCACCTTTTTTGGTGGCGACTGACCCTTGACCGATGACACGGGCAGCGGGCGCAGCAGAGTCACCTTCCTGGTGCCGAGCCTCCTCATCACGGGAGCCTCCTCCTCCGGATCGCCATCGGTCTCCTCCGGTTCGCTCTGCGGCTGGTCATTGAAGTTGTAGAAATTGGCTTGGAAGTCCTGCGGACTGAAGCGCTGCACTCCGTAGTAGCTGCCGGAGTTGGTGTCGTAGAAGAACATGGGATGTGCGGATGGCGACGGAGGAGGTGGTGCGAAGTAGGGATCATAAGAGCCGTAAGCATCGTCGTTCTCTTGCGAATCGTAGACGGGTCGGTGCTTCTGCTGCTTGCGGCGCTTTCGTTTGCGTTTGTTAGAACTCTGCGGGGCCACCGCTGCAGGTTCCTCCAGCTGCAGCTCCTGGTCGTCATCGTAGGCCTGCAGGTAGACGGGCGAGGTCTCAATAATGTTGGCACTGCCGTCGTTGAAAAAGTTGGCCAGTGGATTAGTCAGATTGCGGAAACTGAAGGCGGGCTGAACACTGCGCACGAAACTGTTCCAAACCCGAACTAGTGGACGTTCGGTGGTTGTTGTGGGAGCTGCTTTTCCCAAAGTGTGGACATAACGCCTTCTATATCCACCACGAGCACTTGGCAGCAGGACATACTCGATGGGATGAGTTCTGGAACTGGAAATAAGATAAACCGTCGGCGAAGCCATTTACAACACCTTTAAGTTTTGCTTATTACAATGTGAAATGTTTTCTCACCCAATCTTGGCCTGCTTTTGCGGCAAGCGTTGCTCTACTTGTAGAGCAGATATCCGAACTGCCTGCGCAGGATAACTCCATGCCACAAAGAGCAAAAGGGCAGTACACAGTAACCACTGCATATTTGGATACTAAGCCTTCCTTAGGTTAATAATGTATTTCAAATGCGACCGTTGCCGTTCCCGGTCGAAGGGAAACTAAACCTCCTCCGAATCGCGACAGCAGTTGTCAACAGCTCGATGGCGCTGCCTTTGTCGTGTCTTGCCCAGAGCATCTCATTAGAATAGTTTTTATTGGCTCAGCGAACGGTTAGCAAAAGTCTGCCAAATTAATTTGTAATGGCTTTGTCCCAAGCCCTAGTTTATGCCCAAAGGTGGCCGTGTTGGTGGAACTAACTCATACCGACACTAAACCAACTAACCCAATTCGGAGACCATCTACATCTCTCCCGCGGGGCTCGTTGGCAGCTGCCAATCTCGCCCATACATATGCAAATGAAGTCTTATAGATTACACAATTAATACGCCATTCAAGGTGTTGGCTATGACTGAAAAACTCGTTTGCCTGTGAGTTCTGATTTCGAACATTATGCTAAGCTGTCGGGAACGAATCGACGGTTCGCGAAATGCTTTCTCCTGACGAATTTGTGTTTATGAGGGCTTCTCCTTATCAAGATTTTACGATCTGGATAAACATATGGGTTTGTTAATGGGTGCATTTTCTTGGCAGCTTCGCTTTTTTATGGCATAACAATGCTGATTGTGATGGAAGCTTTAAATGGACACATTAGATGGATTTGTCTGATCAATTGGGCAAACTTTATGGCAAACGAAATTGGTTCGCTCTAGAAATTCAGATCGGTTCTTTTCGCCAAATCAAAATCATGTGAAAGAAATGTCGCACTTTCTAAAGACGGATAATGTTACTTTAGAAATAAAAGCTGGGATAGTATAACAATTATTTTAAAAATATATAATTAAAAAAAAACAAGCAAATTTTAGATCTATTAAATGGCCGTTACTTATTCTTTACCAATATGGACAGAGTATAAATCTACAAACGAATTCAATTTTAAACGAAAATAAAGTGTAATGACCTTGATGAAGTCCACAATTCGATTTCTTACAAAAAAGAATTCATTTTAAAAGCGGTTTTATTGAATTGCAATAACTTATTTTGTGCCGGCAATCACGGAATGTGAATATCCTTATCAGCCAAAATCGCGAAACAATTTATTGAGTCCTTCGAACAGCTGAACGGCAGTAAAGCAGTGGCAAAAACAAAACAAAAAACAAACGAAAACGAAAACTGCAATGAAAAGCGCAAAGAAAATTCCTAACAAGTGTTTTTCTTTGCCCAGCGAATTGGAGAGAAAAAGCGTGGCTTTCGGCTGGGAGAGGGCTTTTCGGCTGGGAGAGCAAAGAAAAGCTTCCATTTGGGCCACTGGCGAGGCAGCGCAGGAAACGTTTCAGTCGACTTTGAGATTCCTGGCCAGAAACGACACGGTTTCCCAGGACCTCCGCGACGGCGTGTGCTCTGGAAAAGGAAAGCTGGAAAAACGCCAGCAGCAGCTACTAACGTTAGAAGCGCTGCTGTCACAGTTTCCACCTAAGTCGAAGAAAAACAAGTCAAAAGGCTTGTTCAAGTGGCAGTTGCTTTTTTTGGGCCAAGCCAGCGGTTCGTTTTGTTCGTGTGTGCCATTGTGAATGTGAGCCAGTGTATCTGTGAGTTGTGCCTGCTGCCTGCGTGTGTGTGTGTGTGTGTCCGTGTGTATCTGTATCTGTGTGTGTGCGTGCGCCTTCGTTTTGTGTATCCGTGCAGCGTTCCGTTTGCGAGCTGCTCCAAATTTATACCCAGCATATTTTTGCACATTTAATTGAATTAAGTAAAGGGCTAGAGCCACGGAGAACAGTGTCGCCAGTCCGGTTGAGCTGCGTTCGGTCCGCTCGCTATCTTTATATAAGGGAAAACACGGCAAGAAGGCCAGAGAATTGCGTAAAGTTTGTGTGCCATGTGGCTGTGCCAGTGCCACTGTCTGTGTCTGTGCCAGTGCCGTGGGAAAATGACATTAAGTGCTTAAGTAAATTATATAAAAACATTAAACGCCCCGTTGAGCATCCATAACTCGAGACATTCAAAGCGACGGCTGTGCAGCCTGGAAAAACACTTTCCCTTTTTGCCCTCCTCATATTTTTTGTTATCTATTTTTTTTGTTGGTCAAGATAAACGGATTCGCCAGGCAATTTCCCTTGCCCTGTTTTCGAGGCGAAACGAAAAATTTCAGCCATCCCCACCCATCCCAGTTCCTCACCACTGTCAAAGTGGGCGGAATAGGTGGGTGGTCGGGCTAGATTTTCGACTACTGTCAAGGTGTGCGCCGACCTCAAGGCCTAGTCACTAACCCTAAACACAACCGCAAGCACTCACGAACTTGCACAAGTTCAAGCCAACGAAAAGTTATCTTGGCGGGCGTTTTGTTTCCATTTTTAAAAGTGCGTTTCACATTCCAAGCAAAGCACCAAACGAAATAAAGTAATTGGGTAAACTCTATTGAGTTTTTAAATATTCTTATTTATGTTATACTTTTTATAAGCCCGTTAAGGAAGATATTCCATTAATTATTCATTAAGTGTAGTTTGTTTTTGGTATAGGGGCAATAAGACTATATTTTACGTCGTACTTTCGGACACCCTATTGCTTTTTGATTTCCAATTTGTTTCCCAGTGTCCCAGGTGACTGAGCAGGTGTCTGTCTGTGACTGCTACTGCTTTTGCCGTCACTTTCGTTTTCCTGCTCGCATTGCCCTCGCTCAAGTGCTGTGCTTGACCATAACCACTAAAAATGTCACATTGCGTATACGCCGCGTGGTGTCCTCGACCGAGGTGTGTGTTTGTACGTTTGTATGCTGTTGGCTGTTTTTCGCCGCTGTTGTTGCTGTAAGCTCGTTTACTTTTGGCCAGCACCCACCACCCACACACAGCAGCTAGCTCTCTCTTTTTTTGGTACTCTCTCCGGACAGCTTGCTTTCACCTCTCTGGCGCACTTTCTCTCGTTCAGCTGTTTGTTTTGTTTTGAATCGCATTTTTCCTCGGGCGGCGGGAGGAATGCGCTGTTTATCCCCCTGTCTGTCGTCGGTCCGTTCACAGTCCTCTGGTCACGTTTTCCTGCCCACCTCCAGCTGCTCAAGGCGCTCATGCCTGGCAATTTAAATTTTATTGTGATTTTTATTCTCGGCAAAAATAAACAGCGCTCGTCGTTTCTCCTAGCGCGCTGCTTTATAGAGCAATTTGTCGCCCAAAAGTATGCTCTGGCACGCCGATAAAAGCGATGTGTCTACATTAGCTTGACGAGTCGTCGGGGAAGAAGGGTGATGATAAAACGACGAAACTTACCAGCAATTTAATATGTAATCCTCCTGGTTGTTATTTTATGTCTCTTGGCAGTCCTGCCTATTTTATGCATAAAGCATGTCCGTCCAGCACATTAAAATAACTTTTTCACGTGAAATACCCCATTTAGAGCAGAGAAAAAATAGAAAGGATTCACAAGGCCTCTCAAAAATATATACTCTATTCCCTCAATGATGTTAGTAAGGTAAATCCAAGTAGAAGGATTTGTTATAAGCTATAAACATGAGATATGTTTGGTTGGTCGGCTTCTCACTTCAGCTAATCAAAACCATATGGAAATATTTAATTTTCCTAATGCCCTGTCCGATCCGTAATGTATTTTATATTACAAACAAATTGTAAATTTGAAAGGAGAATTTCTAGACAAATTTATTATATTCTGTTCGGCCATTTATCTCTCTGTAAACGTTCAGAGCTATGTTCAGTTTTGGTCTTGGATTTCTTCGAGCTCTGCCAGTTAAGTCAATGTCTTGGCATTGGTCCAATGGCAAGGCAGCCCAAACCCTAACCCTAACTCACCACCCACCCATTCGGCCCCATGGCTTCCGGTTCCGTTCTGCCGGGTATTTTCAGCATTTTCGGCTGTCTCCTGTCGACTACCAGACTTTTGCGCTCGCAGGAGTGGCGCCGACGGGAGAAAGCGGTGAAATTTCCATATTCCTCGCATTAGCCAACTAGCCGCGGCTGCGCTGCGCTGAGTGACTGCTCATTAAAATGCTATAAGTGTAGGAACAATTTGCATGTTGCACGAGCTTCGAGCGGCAAACAACGAGTCTCGGTCTGAATAATTAACACCCCAGCAGCAAGACCTGTTGGCAGCTGGCATTTCTCGAATGTGTTTTATTCAGCGCTCAGGAGCGTACAATCAGTGAGTTGGCGTTCTGGTAGATGAATTCCAGGTAGTTGCGGATGGCCAGGAAGCTGGACATGATGCGGTTGTCCTCCCAGCGCCAGTCGATCATGAAGCCCACCAGGTAGTAGTTCTGGGTGGTGTGGCCCTTCTTCTGCATCCCCACCAGCGGTGCGCCCAAGTAGTAGGCCTCCGGCTTGGTCTGGTAGCCACACACCGTGTTGCTGCTGGTCACCAGCGCCTTGGCCTTCGACTCGCAGAACGAACGACTGAGCGTGTTCACCCAGGTCTTCAGCCTCAGATCCTCGCGGATACGCAGCCCAGCCACCAGGAAGGTCTGACCCACCAGCGTCTCGTTGACCAAGTGGGGCGGTGGCATGCAGATGGGCATCACGTTCGGGTAGATCTTGGCGTCCCGCTGCAGGGTGAGCACGGCCAGGCTGTTCTTCAGCGTTCGCGAGTCGTACTCCGGGTGGATGGCCACCTCGGCCAGCTTGATCTCCTGGGCAGGGCGCACACAGTAGCCATCCTTCTCGCAGACACGCACCCCCACGGGAGCGGACTTGTTGTAGACCCCCAGGTGCACCGAGAAGGCCTGAGCCTCGCCGTTGTACTGGACAAAACAGTGGGCTGGGGCCAGAACAGTGCGCTTGGAGATTAACACGCCCAGGCAGCCATTGTCCCGAATCTTGCCCTCGAACCCTGCCAAACAATCAAACAGTGAGGATACTGTTCTTCCAATCTGGAAACACTCAAACGCTTACCCTTGCCAAACACTACCCGGGCCAGCCACTGGTGCTCGGTGGGACTGGCGAAGCCGCCCTGCTTGAGCATCTGATCCTCGTTGAAGTAGCCGCACTCCGTGTCCGCCAACTTGGCCGATTGCACTTCGGAGCCAATGAGGCCCAGAAGCAGCGTTACAACTGCGATTCGTCCAAGCATTCTGAAGCGCAGCTCAAAGTAAACTGACGGGGAACTGGGAAATTGAAAAGTTTCCGACTGCATTTAGCATTGCAATTCATAGGGGGTTTATCCAGAAGTTATGATCAATACACTTGAAAAAAAAATTTAAAAAATAATATAAGATTATAGGTATTAGGTAATAATTTTAATACCTAAGTGGTATTAGTGTCTGAAATATTATAAACAAACTTAATACTCATTCAAGCCATTGTCCAGACATTCATTTTAGTTTCCTAAAATATAATAATGTAATATTTATTCCTATAATCTCCGTGGGGCAAGACATTGTTTAAATTTCCACCTAACTCTTACAACTACCTGTTTTTCTACGTTGACCAGTAACGATCTGTGATCACATTTCAGCAAAGATTAAAAACCCGTTTCCGATGCGGAACACTGGGCAGATCCCAGCACGATGTATCAGTTATTTCCCTGGCCTCACAAAAGCATTTTACTTCCTCGTCAGTCGACTTTATTAATGATTTTCAAGTATTCACAAATCATGTTGTACAATAATGTATTTGAGAGTATTTGCATTTCTATTTCGAATTCTCGAGTATCCAGGAACGGGCGTTTCGCACGTTTTGGAAGACCTGGGTGGTGGCCCCTCCGGCATCCACATTGCGGACCAGCAACGCCACCAGGTAGAAGCTATGCGGCTTTTCGGCCTGCACCTCGATGTCCATCAGTGCCGAGCCCGGATAGAACTTGGTCCGCTTCACGGGATATCCGCACAGCTGGTTCTCGGGAAAAAAGACGCTGGAGGAGGTGAGCTGCTTGCACTTGGGCGAGGAGACGGTCATGGCCAGGCCCTTGCCCTTGTACACGTCCCCGTGGTTGAAGCCGGAGTAGTGCAGGTTGCGGTTGGTCAACGTCTCCGGCTCCGAACTGCCCTGCAAGCAGATCGGCTGGATCCAGTGGGTCCACTCGATTGGCCTCTCCAGCCGCAGGATGGCCAGATCGTTGTCGCCCGTGTCCCTGTCCGACTGCGGGTGCACCTTGATGTCGACCACCTTGTACATCACTGGGCCCGGCACACAGAAATCCTTCTCGTTGCAGGCCAGTTCCTCCTCGGGCGAGTTGGTCTCGTCCCAAACGCCCAGCATGGCCACGGCTGTGGTGTCTCCGGACCGGGTCTTGAACCGCTTCACACACGTGGCAGTGGTGAGGACGTGCTGTTCGTTGATGATGACAACGGAGCAAGCCGTATTCTCGTAGCTATTGCCTGTGAATGGAAAAGCAAACAAGAAAGAGCTCAAATGTTTTGAACAATTGTTCATCAAAAGCTATTTTCTCAGGAAATTTCCTATCCGTTGACTCACCTTTGTCAGCCCACAGGATGCCTATCCAGGGATTCTCCGAGGGCTCTGTCTTCTCCAGGACAGTGTATAGCAATCTCTCCTCTAGGCGCCCGCATTGTATATCTGCCACTGCCAAGGCTGCCAATTCATATGCCATGTAAACAGATTTGTAAACATTTCAATTTTAATGTTTTTACTCACCACCCAGCCAGGTTACAATTAGCAGCAGAACAAGTTTTCCGCTTACAAGCACCTCCATGTCGATGTGCTCCAAGTGCTCAGAGTTGACTAAACGTATTGCTCAGACTAAAAAGCTGAGTTGCATTAGCAAATAATGGGTAATGGCCAATCTCCCCCTTCTTATCTCGCCGGTTAAATCACTGATACCCGACTGATTTTTTTAAATTTCACAGTGCTCAGAAATTATTATTAATAGGCACGCATATTTATTTCCTAAAAACAAAATTATGCTAACTTGGCCAAGCCATATAACATTTATTAATCCGATTCCATATGTTCAGGCTTAGATTTGCGTATGAATCGCTGTGAAAAGAGTAACCTTCAAATAGATAATCGAACACTAAACAACTTCTGGCTTGAAATTGTATATTTTTATTCTCAGTATAAAATCTTTTTGGCAGTTCTCGATTCGAGTTTTCGAATTTTCAAAAATTTAGTTAAACGAAGCTACTAAAATTAGTTAGATTTTTGATATACGTTTTCTAAAAAATATTTCTTTTCATTAAATTGCAAATCCGTATTTTATTGCTTACATTAAAACTGTTTAACACGTATACTTCCAAGTTCAAAGAAGGCTTTCGTGCTTCTTATAAACGTTTTCATTTTAATGTTTATTTTAATTTCACCATTGAATAAATTTTCAAGTAAAATACTTATTTAATTCTTCAGGCTTGTAAAGTAATCTGTTTTCCGCTTAGGAGCGTACAATCAACGAGTCGGAATTCTGGTGGATAAAGCCTAAGTAGTTCCGGATGGCCAGGAAGCTGGACATGACGCGGTCTTCGTCCATGCGCCAGTCGATCATTAATCCGACCAGGTAGTAGTTCTGGGTGAATTGCCCCTTCGCCTGCATCCCCACCAGCGGTGCCCCAATGACGAACACATCTGGCCTGACCTGGTAGCCACACACCGTGGTGCTGCTGGTCAAAAGCGTGCTGAACTTCGATTGGCAGAAGGATCGGCTGAGCGAATTCACCCAGCTCATTTGCCTTAGGTCCTCCCACTTGCGCAGCCCAGCCACCAGGAAGGTCTGACCCACAAGCGTCTCGTTGACCAAGTGGGGTGGTGGCATGCAGATGGGCATCACGTTCGGGTAGATCTTGGCGTCCCGCTGCAGGGTGAGCACGGCCAGGCTGTTCTTCAGCGTTCGCGAGTCGTACTCCGGGTGGATGGCCACCTCGGCCAGCTTGATCTCCTGGGCAGGACGCACGCAGAAGCCATCCTCCTCGCAGATTAGTGATCCAACCGGAGCACTCTTGTTGTACACACCCAGGTGCACGGAGAAAGCCTGTGCCTGGCCGTTATACTGAACAAAACAGTGGGCTGGAGCCAGAACAGTGCGCTTGGAGATCAGCACGCCCAGACAGTCATCATCATTGTCAATCTTGATCCCTGTAATAGAAAGCAGGCTTATTGTCTTCTCTATGGAATACCTGTTTTCTAACCTTTACTAAAAACGATCCGTGCTATCCACTGGTGCTCGGTGGGTCCGATGAAAGAGTCCCTCTCTAAGAGCTGTTCCTCGTTAAAGTAACCACATTCCGTGTCCGCCAACTTGGCCGATTGCAATTCGGAGTCAATAAGGCCCAGAATCAACGTGATAACTACTATTTGTCCAAGCATTCTAAAGCTCAGTTCAAAGTCAACTGACTGTCAGCTGGGAAAAATGAAAAATTTTCTCTCACATGCATATTATTTTGATGATTGCGAACACTGGAGCAAATACCCATATTCAGGCAAACTAAAAAAAAAACTTTAAAAATCATATTTAGGGAAAACTAACTCACTTCTGAGATTAATGAGTTTTTAAATTACAAATTATGTTGATTATAATTATTAGTATTTATTTACGAATGGCATGATATTTGATTCAATTTCCGGCCAACACTTCAAACTACCTGTTTTTCCACAATTAAACTTAATGCTCGATATTTACATTACCGCAAAGATGGAAAACCTGTTTTCATTACTACAATACTTCTTGATATTTATCCACAAATAGTACTACCTCGCTCGTTTACTTAAATATTAATTATCCAATTTACTATCTGTTAATCGTAGAAAATCGAAATGCAAAATATTCCTGGCTCTGGCTGGCAAAGTCGCAAATTTTAGTTTTAAGTAACATGAAGGTGTTCGAAAATCGATAGATTAAAATTACAGGCAACTATCAGACCTTCATTATATAGCCATTAGGCTACAAGAGGAATATTTCTTTGGACCCGCGAACATGCATTCGCTTAAGCCCGCCTACAACTAGGCTGAATAATTAATGTTTCAATTAGATTGCTATTATCGAAGGCAAACACAGGCGGCTCGGGGGATGGGAAGGTGAAGGACAGCGAAGGACATTGTAATTCATCCGGCCAAAAAGGGAAGGGTTGGACTGGGGGGGGGGGGTGGGACTGGACTTAACACTCTAGTTGGAATGCTTACAAATTGCCCGGCCAGATCCGGCTGGCAGTTTATTGTCCACTCAACTTGACCTGCCTGAGCTGGGGCGTTCATAATTCGCATTGTTATGAGCCTAGCCCCTCGCCTTTGTGGCCCTCCAATCAATGTGTTCCTAGTTGGCTCTGGACTTAAGTGAACGGTTGGTAGGCAGGCTGGTTAGCAGGTTGGCTGGCCATTCGGCGGTGCTCGTAAAACTTGACTGCCCCGGCCTTGAGTGTGGCCTAGGCCAGTTTCACCCCTTCTGCCGAGAATAGGAAAGGGAAAAACGGGAGGCCCATGCAAATTGCTCAGACCCTGGACGGATTGCGTGGACTCTGGGTGCGCCTTTCGCTTGTAAAGAGTCGAGAAATGGCCCCTCATTTGCGTGTTCCTCAATCTTTAATCGCTGGGGGCACGTGAGCAGCCTGAATCCAGACGGAGATGGAAAATGGCCGACCGAATCGAACTGAATCCTTGATTAGAACTCGGAGAGAAAAAGCTTACTTTACTTACTTTAAAATTTAAGTTTAGCTACTTCAAGTTGGAGAACGTGGAATTTTGGGAAATTATTTAACATTTTAAAAAATACCATTAGTAATTGTAAAATTATGTATGCAATTATTTATAAAATCCAAATACTAGGTTAGAAATCATACATTCGAAGGAAAACTTTGCATATTTCAACTCGTTTGGTTAGAATAAATTATTGAAAGGATGAAATGTATGCAAGAAATGAATTGATGCATAATCAGCGCTTTCCCTAAGAGAACATTTATGGTAAAGGCTCCAATTAATCATTGATTTTCCAGAATCGAACCACTATGAGCGACAGAGGAGGCCGGTAATGATGATAGAATGACGCGTGACGGCGAAATTCCAGCCATTTTCAATCCAAAACGGGTGCGCACTCCTTCCGTGGTGGTCACCGGCGACTCGTCGACGAATGGCCCGTACAACAACAGCAACGCCGGCGGACCGGGAGCCAGCAGCAGCCCAGCCGGAGTCGGAGCTCCTGCAACGTCTGCCCAAAATGGCAGCGGCAGTGGCAGCGGGGCAACGGGCAGCTGCGGCTTCAGCAACGTGCTCACCTCGAGCAACCCGCAAATAACCCACCAAGACTCGATCTCGTCGAGCCAACAGGACCCCAATGAGGTGATCATCATACCGGCGGACACGCCCACCAGCGCCCCGGGCAGTCACAATGCGGGCATCCACTTCGGCGGCACCGACTCCAGCGACACGCAGATGGAGCAGCAGCAGACCAATGGCCACGGGGAGGAGCCGGAGCTGCGGTTCCGGAAGCTGCAGGCCTGCAAGGAGTCCTGCTGCTCCGAACTGGCGCGCAAGGTGAGGTCAACAGGGCATAATAAATGCCAATTTAACGTTATACAATTCACGTTTGCTCAAGAAGTTAACTGAGCATAACATTACAAAGACACTTTAGTAGGACGCCATAGTTTAGTATTAAGAAATGATACCCTAGGTATTTTGAATATGGAAATATTATATTAAATTTTTTGTAACAATAAGGCTACTTACGAATAGATTCTAATATCTGAAAATGTATTTTTTATTTAAACCATATTAAACTTTAATACCTATAATAAGTAGTCTTATAACTTATTGAATAGATTTCAATACCTGATCATTTATTTTTAATGTAAACCATATCAAACTTAAATAAATATAGTTATTTTTAAGGTAACAACTATTTTTCTAATGTATTTCTCATTTAAGTAAAATCTACAATCATATATTTAATTAAAATGTTGGTCTTATCCAGAGGTTTTTTACTATTCCATATTTTATCATCGGTTGTTAAATGATTCGTTTTGTTAATTTATTTGTTGGGTGATTGTTTTATTGATTGTTATATTGTGTTGACACAAAATACAAATCAGTTTGACTGTCACTAAGTTGTGTCATGCAATTGGAATAACCTTAAGGCATGGGTATTATCTTGATAAAGTTCAAAGAAACTTTTAGCACATGCCAGAAAATGATGTTATTTGGAATCCCATAGCAAGAGATTTATTGTTTACTTCTTACATTTCTTCGTTCACGTTGATTTGCAGATGTACTTCGGAGTCTGCGTGACCATCCTAATGACCGCCTCGTGGGTGGGGGCCACCCACTGCATTAAGTACATGTACAAGTACCGAGCTCCGTACGACGACCTGCTGAACGACGACCAGGATACGTCCTCGAGCCGTGCCGACCTGAGCACGGAGCTGGAGGACATACTGGCCATCAGCGACTCGTCGCTGCACCACGTCGAGGACGCCACCGAGATGTTCAACATACCACCGCGCCAGCCGGTCTACTTCAGCGCCCCCTTCTTTGCCGCCTGGTTCTTCACCAACTTCTCGCTGCTCTTCTTCCCCATCTACATCCTGGGCCTGGTCTCCACGCGCAAGTGCGAAAAGCTGAGCGACATCCTCGGCGACGTGCTGCGAGGATTCCGGGAGCGCGGCTTCACAGTGGGTGAGTTCAGAGGTCATTATCGCACTCTGCATACCGTGGCTTAACCTGCCTTTAACAGGTCGCTTCCTCAATCGCTGCCTCTGCTTCTGCATTTTGTGGCTGGTGACCACCTACCTGTACACCCTCTCCCTGCACGTCCTCTACGCCACGGATGCGTTGGCCCTTTTTGCCACCAACGTGGCCTGCGTCTACCTGCTGTCCTGGGTGATCCTGCACGAGCAGTTCGTGGGTGTGAGAGTAAGTAACAAAAACCTCAAACAATTTGTACTTGTCTTTTAAATTAATTTTTTTTTAAATTTATTTAATAGGCATATACACATAAATTATGCTAATCGATTAATTTCGCAAACAAAAAGCAGTTCAATGTAAATTTTACTTATTCAGTAATTTTTGCTGTGTAGCATTTTCAGTGACTTGCCGTTCTCCATGATTGTTGAAGAACATAAAATTATTCATCTTAAACAGTGTAAATTCGGTCCACCAAAAATGAAAATCAAAATACACCCATCGAATAAATTACATTTTATTTAGTCTAAGCATTTTAAAAAAATTCTTGGTAATTAATAATAATCTATTTTTAAAGTTTAAAGAAAAGTGAGCAAATCAGCAAATCAAACATAAAATTATTCATTTATAACAGTGAAAATTCGGTCTAACAAAGCTGAAGCAATAATAACAGACAGTGTGAATCTGAACAGCAGTTTGAAGCAAAATGCTCCCAACAAATTGTTACTTTTTCTGTTTTTTCCAAGAAGGCTCCTCCACCTCATTTTCTCTTTCGATGGCTTTCACATACTCGGCAATGATCTTGCTGTCAAGCATTTTTAGTGGCTTGCCGTCCTCCATGATGGCCACCTCCAGGTGGCTCTGACCCCACTGGGCCACTTCGAGTAGGCCGCGTATGGCCAGTTTAACGGCTCCGCGTTCGCTCCTGACCTCCTCATCGCGGTAGGTCTTCTCGAAGAACTGCCGCACAGTATTCGCCGAACGGCCAGTGGCATTCGCCTTGTATTCGTAGAAAATCCCAGACGGTTCGGTCTGGAAGAGATGGGCAGAGCCATTGGCGTCGAAACCGCCGATTAGGCAGGATATCCCAAAGGGACGACGGCCATTGCTCTGCGTGTAATTCTGCTTCAGTTCGGCTATATATTTGGTGATGTACTCCAGGGTCACCGCATGCTCGAAGTTCAGCCGATGGCTCTGGCACTCGACCTGGGCGCGATTTGTCAGGATGCGGGCGTCGGCCGTTAAGCCGGCAAAGGCCATCACAACGTGGCGGTCGAGCAGGCAAATCTTGCGCACCGTGCGCTCCTCCTGCATCTTGGACACCGAGTTCTTCTCCACGCCCAGCACCACGCAGTTGCCGCCGCGAACGCCGACCGCTGTGGAGCCTTTTCGGACGGCTTCCTGGGCGTATTCCACCTGCAACAGGTGGCCGTCCGGCGAGAATATGGTAACAGCTCGATCGTAGCGCGAGGACATCTTTGGGATTAGTTCAACGGCAGAGAGGTATTGAGGAATATTGGCTCATGGGATTGCCACCTTTTCGTCTCTGCCTGGCAATGTTCAATTCGAGAAGTGATTGTAAATTCGTAGGCAAGGTTTATAAAATAAATATCATAAATTTAAAATAAATGTAACACGTCGAGTCGAATCTTAAATAGGGACTTCTTATTCAGGAGTTACATTCCAGCAAGTATAAATCACAAAATAAAAGTCAATTGATTTCTATCTATAAGTTGACTTTTTTTTAACATTATTTACTGACAAATAGAATAAAGTCTCCATAAAGTTTTTATGAGAAATAAAATAATAGTCCTAAAGTCCTAGTGCTTTTCATATAAAGAGAAAATTAGACAATTAAAATAGAATTATAACTACATTGTTGCAAAATTTGTTGAGATTTATTATAAAATCCCTTTTAATACAATATTATTTAATAACGATACAATATTGTTTTATAAAGGTATTCGAATCCTAGTTAAATGACCGCTTTGTTCCAGATTGTGGCCATCATCCTTTGCGACACGGGAATAGCGCTGCTCGCCTACATGGATGGAATCACGGAAAGCCGAACCCTGAGCGGCGTGGTGCTGGCCACTTTGGCCGGAGCAGGCTATGCCGTGTTCAGGGTGAGTACCCCCCGTTCCGATGTCCTGGTTCCCCGGAACCCCGGTTCGTGTGCGGGCCATGTCGTGCTCATGTTGGCCTGTCGCTTCACAGGTTATGTTCCGCAAGGTGATGGGCGATCCGCCGGTGAGCCAAATCGCCTTCATATTCACCGCCCTCGGCTTCCTCAATGCCTTGCTGCTGTGGCCCGTGGTGCTGGGACTCTACCTGACTGGCACGGAAAGCCTCTCCTCGGAGAGCATACCATGGAACCTGCTGTTCGCGGCGAGCCTCCTGCTCCTCGGTAGGACCACCTTCCCCAGCTCTACTCCCTCTGCATTTGTTGTGCCGTAAACTTTTATCGGTGTAATTAATTTTGATTGCAGTTTTCCACGTGCTGATGCAGTTCAGTGCCGCCGTTACGTACAACATGTTTGTGACATTGGGTCTGATTACCGCTGTGCCCGTTTCTGGCGGTATGTACCTGCAGGCGGGCTCCTCAGTATGATTTCCACGGGTTAAGTGGGGTTTGCATGCGGGTCTTGGGTTAGCCCCTTTTCGATTCAAGGATTCCGTGACTATAAATTGTTTTAAATTGTAATATTAAAACCAGGCACTCATGTGAGGCACGTAAGACCGTTTGATCTTTGTAGTTAAAGGGGGCAATGTGACATAAATTTTCAGAATCCTGTAACCGAACTATGTTTAGAAAATGGAATGTTGCTACCTTAATTATATATTATTAAAATACTTTATTATTTAATTTAAGGGATATTGATTACTTAAACTGTTTGTTGTTAGAAGAACCAACTAGAAAATTTGGTCAATTTGAAAAGGTTTTTTTTTTGATATTGTTTAGGGGGAAACATTATGTTCTCTGTAAAGAAAGTTAAGACAAATAAGTTTTTAAGGAAAAGTAAATTAACAATTTTCTAATTACAATTCTTATTCGATCCTATAGCCCTCGATGTCATTCTGTACAGTGCGAACTTCGCGGGCATGAAACTGGCCGGAGTCATTTTGATTGGCATCGGGTTTTTCCTCGTTATGTTCCCCGCCAACTGGCCAGACTATATAACGCGATTGTTGAGGTAAGTGGGAAATATATTTCGAATTTACTCACATTGCTAAGAATAATTGTTATGCAATTAATATGCTAATTTTCTTTGTCAGAGTAAAAGAATCGTGCGTGTTTGTTTCGAATATTTTACGGTTTCAGTTCATTTCGGTTGTATACTATTTTGGGTTCTTATTTCAAATTTATTATTTTATGTTGTTGCCACTCAGTGGCATTAATGACTAAAGCTAACAATTAAATACATAAATCATCGAAAAAATTAAAATTTCTTCTCATGTTTGATTTCGATAAAACGCTGTTTAATTCCTGTATACTCACATAAACTATATATTTAATTTTATATAAACAAACATCTTGCAGAAAGAGCGTTCGTGCCATACTCCGCTACCAATGTTGTTGTGAATTAGCCGAAATTCGCTATGCTCATTCGGTAGGCCAAAAACACAAGCTAAGCCAAAAACCCAAAACCAAAAACAAAAAAAAACCCAAACCCAAACCCCTGATTTAAGACACCATTAGATATTAACTAGAGCCGTAGGCATTCAAAGATTTGTGTTTAAATATAACGAACCTTCCAACTAAAGTTTGACTTGAAAATGCTATTGATAAGTAATTGAAGCTTGGCAGATTTTTTACTGAAAACAACAAGAAAAACTTCTATGCTATCTATAGGTATATAAACACCCATATATCCCACAAGCAAACAACTACAACTACAACACTTTGGCTTCCAACATTGCGCTCATCCTTGTTGAACGAAATGCCTAGACATGTGTATCTAACTGTTACTATATATACCTGCCTTAATGTACACCCAATTAACTATATACCGAAATATACCTCCACACACATTTTACGAACATATATCTATATATGGTTACCGTTCAATAAAGCCATTTTACCGACACTAACTACTTCGGCTGTTGTGCAATTGGTTGACAATCCCATCTCGTTGTTGTTCTTAACGTTTATTTTTTTTTTTTTTTTGGCGCTGCCGTTACCATAAATGTACTTTTACCCATTGTTGTTGATACTTTTGATGATTTCGTTTCGTTTCGGCATATCAGCAACCCCCCTACCAACCCAGACACCTTGGATGCTGTGTTACAACCAGACCGATCTCAGTGTCAATCTTATGTTTTGCCCGTTTGTGTAAGATATATCCTCGTGTCTGGATGTTGGTTGCTGGTGCCGAGGTTCTATTACTGTAGTAGTTCTTACACCCGAACCCTAGACACCCACCCACACACCCTTAAACACACACACCCACCTCAACGTATGTAGTTTGAGTTTCGCTGGTGTTGCGAACGTTTCCAATTTAAGATCCATGCAGAACTCCAAAAACTTGGATGCTGGTATCATAATCATAATCGATGACGATGATTTGTTTGGCTGATTGTTGTCTGACCTCTTCTGAATTGCAGCTTCTTGTAATTGGGTTAAATCCGTTGACTTGGCCATAACCTTTTCGTGTAAATAAATTCGATTTTTGGTTACGTGTTCTTATTTTTACTTAACCTGTCTGCACTTAGAGAGGAGAGCGCAAGTAACCATAGATGTTTTGAAGACGTTGACTCGCAGCATGTACGAATTTACCAAAGTTGGGTCTACATCTTCCTTGCCCCTATGCTCCAAGTAATATCTTTTTTGCATTATCATTTTCCATATAACTTTGTCAGGATGCCATTGGCCGGAGAGAAACCCAATAAAAACAAAACCCCGGACCTTTAAAATCGATCAAATCCTAAATAATGATATACATTAAAATGCATTCAAATTGTTACCGATTGGCATGTTTGAACCGACCTTCGTTTTCTCTTCGTTTTCGTTTCGAATTGACAGTTTTTCGTTTTCCAAACCGATCTACTCTTGAGTTACTCCTTTATTTCTGTGCGATCTGTCTGTCTATCTTTACATTCTTCAAGCTCTACTCTATGCTATATACTCTACCTACTTCTTATATATATAAAAAAACATGTCGACATTTCTCAATTGTCTTTTTGCAGAAGCATCATTATGCTGGGTCACAATGCGAGGTGAGTTTCGAGATTAGGCTGCGCTGAGAATTGAATGTGTTTTTTACAACCTAAGCATAAACAACACGGTGCCCAAAATCTGAATAAGGATTTTTCGTTATAATACTCGTACCTCATATAGGAATACCTAACTCTAAATTCCCAGCCCATACCGAGACAAGCAATCAACAAACTTACTAATATATTTATCCAAATCCAACTGTAAGCGAAGTATGTTTTTTTCTTTCGATTTCGATTTTGTTATAATCCTTAGTCAACTCTTGTCTAGACTTTTGATAATTCGGGTTTGATTTGGTTTCGTTTGGTTTGTGAGGGATTGCAACTGATTCTCCTTATATTACCTCTCGCATCTTAGTTATGATTTCCACATCCTTTTCGTAAGCTAATCCGAGTACAAGTATGATAGCCTTTGGTTAATAAGTACAGTACGACTGGGTAGTCTCAGTCTGGCAGATTTCGGTAAACTCTTCTTTTGGCCCAGTGCTAAGGTAAGTCGATCCGAGGGTCCTGCATTGCCCCACCGCCAGCTAAACTCACCTCACATAAAGGGCATCGTTCCGATGCCGAATGACAGACTCACCAGATCACCCAAAATCCACCCACCCATTTATTTTCGGAGCCACCGGAGTAGATACAAAGTTCATGATCTTCCGTTGAACAAATTGTTCTTGTATTTAATTCTTTTTGGAGGCGTCTGAAATCGTATGCTGGTTGTAAACGGTGCAGCGGCGTACGTGTGAAGGATACAAATCGCTTTGTGGCCGCTGCATCGTTTACAACCTGCTAGATAACTAGCAGTAGAATCTCCTGATTTGTATATAGTTACACCGCTAATCTGTACTATTGCTTCTTTTTCTTCTTGTTTTTCTTCTTCACCTCTGCCACAACCTGCCTATCTCTCTTTATCTTTCTCTCTGGACTATCTCCTCTTCTCGAACTGTGTTCTCTCTCTCTTTCTTCACACACAAACTACACCTACACCAATACCTACAACACTACACAACTGAACTGGACCTGAACCTGGCCAAATTGAATGACTTCCATTGCAAAAATACACCGCAAAAAACGATTGAACGTGACCTCCACACATACTCGTCAAACCATGTAGCGGTAGGCCAGCGCTTTGTAAACGAGATGCTATAGTCACGGGACCGTCCACCAGATATGCGCAGCGGCACATCACGCGCACGCACCACATAAGCTAAGAGTTTCCGACGGGTCACTGAATTGTACAGAAAACAAAAACAAAAACCACAACCAGACAAGATATATTTTGTAAAAAGATTTTCCAAAACAACAAAACAAATTCGCAAAGAAAAACTCTGAAACTCAATTGCACCATTTGCCAATCTGGGGTAAGTACGAAATTTGATTGATTTGCTATCGACCAATACTGCAAGGTACAGTTGCCACTCGTAGAACTAGTACTATATCAGGCATCATCTTGATTTTTATATTTTTATCTTTTTCTTTCAACATCCCCTCAAGTTATGCGTTCTCTTTGTCTCTTCCCTATCTGACCATCCTTCCGTGTGGACTCCTTTTGGATTTGCGACCCACAGATCGCAGCATATATATGCCACCCATTACAAACACAATCGAAAGTATTACGCGGTCAAAACCGACTCATATGTGGTTTGAGCCAATCGCATGAATGAACAAATAAGAACGAAACCAGCGTGTGGCTTCCGACTGTTTTTGCTTAGGCCCTCGGCCACTGCCACGCCCACGCATCTCTCCCGAAAACCCAAAAAGTTTTTACAACTGTTATGCGACTGTTAGGAACACTTTTGTACCAAACTACGTTAAGTAACTTTCAAGTTTCAGACTGAGAAACTAAAACGAACGAACGGTGAGAGTCCCTAGAAATTAATTTTTGATCAGCTCCTAGAACCACTAGCCTCACCCTCAAATTCCCATGTACAGCTCACCAAATCACTATCAACTATCAACTATAAATTATTTAGATTTACAAGTTTCGAAGAGTCTTTGAATCTTTTTTAAGTTTCGTTTGCTTTGTAATGTTTACAGCTTGCCTATGTTATTGAGAAGTATCTTAGCTAGTCAAGCTACTTATGAGCTTTGGAGAGCACAGCTTAATGTAACTATTTGTGGCACCCGTAACCTGATCTTCCCCGCTTAACCCCCAACCACCCACAAACACTCCACACACACACACACACACAACACACATGATATATTTGTATATAACGAACACAGAACATCAGTAAAAAATCAGTTAAAAGCCTTAGCGCTTAGGCTATGGTATCTAAGCACTGCAGATGCGGATATGGTAACCGAATTCCCGGGGAGTCCTGATCCCCTGCAGTGCCTAGCCCAAAAAGATATAGTCATGCAAGCGCTTACTCTATGTAAATGTGAGTGTATGTAGCGCCTTAGAGTTGAACACCTACGAAATGCGTAGAAAGTAATTCAATGCCCATAAAGCCAAGCAGAAAAGAACCCTAAGCAGATAGCTAGCCCTAGTCCTAGCCCGTCTGATACTAACAAGTGACACTTTGTCTTTACCACCCCGAAAACAAATATCTCCCCACAAACCACAAACTCTAGATGGGGTCGCGGCCCTCGGAGCGGTACTTCAACAGGTCAGCATCCCACCATTATCGACTATCGGACGGGATACATAAGGTCCCATCTTCGTTCACCCTCTGGCCGTGTGAGATGACTGATCTGTCGCCGACCACCACTGGGTTTCTACATGGCCATGGCGGCGCCAACGCACAGCATCACCAGCAACTTTTGCACCACCAACACCAACAGCAGCATCCGCATCAGCAGCATCCGCATCCGCAGACCCACCAGCAGCACCTGCAGCAGCAGTACCACCATCGGCAGCACTCGCTCCACCAGCAGCACCTGCAGCGCCAGCACTCGCACACCTCGCTGACCAAGATCCACCGCCAGAGCAGCAGCCACAGTGTCCACGGTGGCGCAGCCGGACGGGCGGTGACCGCCGCGGTGACCACCACCGGAGCCACCGGACGACTGTTCTCCTACTTCGGGAACGAGCAGGACCACGAGCGCAAGAAGTCGGAGACGTCCTTCTTCAACCTGGGCTTCCGCCGGAAGTCCACCGTGGTCTACTACGCTCCCTCGGATTGAGCAACTGGCATATCAAGCGAAAAGAGGATACAATCAGATCGGATAATGGGTCAAATCGGTTATTGTGTATTGTGTGTCATTTTATCATAGTTACTGTCGTTGTTGTTGATGTAAAAGTTCAATCGGACCGCATGCAGTTACAATTTTGCTCAAATATAACACATTTAAAGGCCACAGTTACAGAAACAGATATACACTAGCACCAGCTCCAGTCAAAAGAATCCATACCCAGCCTCGCCTTCAATCTCAATCTCAATCTTCAATCAATCGCAATAAAAAATAGAAACCCAAGAAAGGAGCCCGCGAATCGAGCTCAAAAGTGCCCCGAAAGTTAACTATAATTTAATATTCATAATCAATACGAAATTGTGTAAGGAATCGAAGCCAATTGTTTTAGCAATTATATACATTAATTATAACGGCAATGAATAGTCAAATATTTTAAAGTGGATTCACTCGAAGGCACACCTTAAGAAGGCAAAGATAACGAAAAAAAAAAACGAACAGTAAAATCCAAGTTATTTAAGGAAAATAGTTAATAGTCGTCACCGAGAAGAGATAATGTTCACCCGGCTAAGAAACCCATTAAACTGTAAGCTCATCTAGCCACTTAAACCTAACGTTAACTGCGGATTGGATTTTGTTAAAGTTTTTTATTTGAACGTGAACTGAATGTGAACCGAGTCGAAAGCGAATCGAAGTATTAGTATTTTTTAAATGTTTATGTGTTGTTCGTAATTTGTAATTCGAAGTGTTGTAGAGTCGAAATGAATCACCGAGGATACAGTTGTACTAAGGCGACCGCCTCTCCTTTGAACCAATTATGGGGGGTTCCCCCGATCGGACATTCGGAGTTGCCGCATGTTATATGAACTAAGTTGTGTAGCCACATCCAATAATTGATTTTGTGATAGTTTTTAAAAATGTTTGATAACCCACAGCATACACTACACACTTCTACCTACCCGCCCGAAAAAAGAGGCAATGGTATAGCTGGGATGTATTTAGGACACACAAGAACCGAACACGAAATAAATAGTTCAAGAAAAACTCAACACACTTGATGTTCATTTTACTTTTGATGGAACGAGCCAAGCAGGCAACTCTTTAGTTGTCTAGAGAACTGTCAGTGCCGAGAGAAGTAGAAAATGTCTCAGTATTACAACATCAACCGTTCAAATTAAATCCCTCTGCAAAAATTTGTTCAAATTCTAAAAGGATCAAAAAATAAATCAAAATCCAAATTAGAAATTACTCTTAATATTTGGTGGTTAGGAAAACCGATTGCACTACGTTTGAGAGCGGAGAGCCAATTCAAGTCGAGCCAAGTAGTCTGCAGATCGCGAATATATATACGAGTTAAAGAAATCGGAGGAGAATTTGCGACGCTCGGCGATTAGGCGGGCGCCGTGAATTTCATTTGGTGTTCCAAGTCTTTTGTATTTTGTTTTTGTTCTCCAATATATCATATACATATGTTGTGATATCATTTCGCACTTTTATAAAATCTAACAAATTCAAACATTGGATTTTGATTTTTGATCGTAAAACGTTAAAATTGCGAAGCGTGACGAAAAATTCATATCTTGTGAAGAACTGAAATCGAAAGAGCAATTAAATTCGACTGGCGTTGGGGACACTCGCATGCAAAATGAATAAGTTTGGTAAGTCGATTGTTTTACTACAAAAACATATATTTGAACATTGTGTATATGCACTGCTTTAGAATTATTATTCACTTAAAATCTATACATTAGGCTACGAAAGAATGTTGTAAAAGTTCAGTGATATTTCTCAAGGCACTTAACACTAAGATAGATACATAATACAAAAAAGACTAATCATTGGACGGACGTTCGATATAGTCTGTGGCGTTAAAAATATTCGAGAATGAACACTTAATTCAGTTTTAAGGCACAATTTACTTTTGATTACTTTCTGCTTTGTACTGATCTACAAATCTATTGCGGAATGTCAGGGGGACAAGACTGACTACCCAAAAACAAAACCAAAAGCGGACACGGCCAGCCACTCGAACGTGTTTCCGCAGACGCGGGCATTTTCCATCCAAATGGAAATGGAGGAGTTGCCCGAATCCTGAGACAGTTACTGCCCACCGCTGCTGCCCTGAAATGACTATGAAAAATGTGTGAAAAAGATTTTTTGTGCCCCCTGTCCAGCTACCTATGGCTATAAAGTTTTTAATGAAAAAAGCTGGAGATTTCTTTTTTGCCCTGGTAGGAGACCAAGTGGCTGATAAACTGGTTCCTGCGGCGCATAGAAAAAGTTCTCAGGGTACAGATAATAAAAATTCAAGCGCGTATGATAATCAAGGCACAAAAAACAAAAAGCGGAAAAAACGCCACAGCAGCAGCAGCATCGGCACAGGCATCGGCATATATATATATATTTAATTCAGGCAAAAAAAACGCAGCCAACGGAGCATCGACGATTTAATATAAGAAAAACACGACGGCAGGCGTTGGATTTTTTGTGCCATCCGTTGGCAGGAAAAAAAGGTGTGCGTGCGGCACAAACAACCCCCAGCTTGGACCTGGACGACCTCCCCGATGATGGGTGTAGGTACGCCTGGGCCTAACTGGGTTCCGATGTTAACAGGTTTGCGATCGCCGCACACACACGCACACGCACACACAGCTGTGCGATTCGACTTCACGGACATTAGAGAGGATCTCCGAAGGAGAAAAAAGACGAGCTACGCGGCATTTCCGTAATCTGAGCGCAGTAGGCGCGGCTGTTTGCGCTTTTCTGCCGACGCTGCCGCTTCTGCTGCTTTGGCTGCTTCGGCTGCTCCTACCGCCTTTGATAGAAATGACAAATAACCAGATTCATTGTAATAGATTATGTCTACAACTTAATCGCCTTGCAGATAAATGATGACAATGTTCAAAGGGAGCAACGGCGGAGTGCTGGGCTGGCAGCTCGTTTTGTTTTTGGGTGTCAATTTTGTGTCTGTGTTGCTTTGTAGTTATGTCTTTTGTGGAGAGATTTGATGTGAGTTTCGTTTGGACGGAAGTTTGCGTTAGTTATTTGGCGTGCGGTTGCTTAACTAAATCTATACAGCAGGGTAAGTGTGAGCCCGATCAGCGCGACCACAAGTCCCAGAGCGGATTGCAGGCCCGCGGCTCCGGCCAATCGGCACTTGAACATATCGTAGCGAGTCTCAACGTCAGCCACTATATTTTGATACTCGGCCTCCACGAGCTGGCCGTCGTAGTAGGTGATCAGATCCTCGAAAGGATACTCGTAGCCCTGCAGACACTCGCACTTGTAGCCTCCGGTTTCATAGCCACGACCCATGATGGGAACGCACTGAAAAGACACTCAGTTTAGTCAAATAATTTAAAGGAACATTAGATTAGAAGAAAACCTGTACTTCATAGATAATCTCCTCACTAAATTGTGATTTCTCAGATCATTGTACTCACGTAGGAAGACTGCTCGTCGCACTTGTGCGTGTTCTTAAAGGCATTGGGCTCGTAGTACCAGTCCGGGCACTGGTTGATGTCCAGCTGCATCATGTCCATGGAGACGGCCACCACACCCCTGCGCAGAGCAAACAAATTAGTCAGTTTAATTGCCTCCATTTGCATTTGCATCACAATGCCAGAAGTCACAAGTCAGAAGTTAGGTCTTGTCAACACTCCAAAATGAGGCAATCAAAGCTAGGCATTTGCATGTGAATAGAACTGGGACGTGATCCTAGATCGGGAGTGGGACTGCGCCCTAAAAAGGGGCTTAAGCGGCCCGCGACGGCGGCACGCAGCGGACCGGCCCAACAAGTCGACCCAACTCAACCCCTATTCCATATTTCTGTTCCCATCCCCATTCCCTCTACTCACTTGAATTCCAGCTTGACTTTGAGGCTGTCCCAGCCGAAGAAGGGCACCGCATAGGTCACCAGCCACTTCTTCACGTAGCCGTCACAGTCGAACTGCGGCTGAGTCCAGTAGCCGTGCTTGATGTTGGCCGCTCTGTACGAATTGGGGTAGTGCTCGTACTTCTGCTGGTATTCACCTGTCTCGTTGTGCCGAATCTTGATCTTCATGTAGAAGGTCTCCAGGTCGTCGAAGTTGGTGTTCCAGCGCTGCTTGAGGAACTTGAAGTACTTCTTCTCCGTGTACAGTTCGTGCGTCTTGTTGATGCGCGCCAGATCCTCCACCTTGAACTTCCGCGTGTTGAGCTCCGTCTTGTAGGCATAGGGTGCGAAGTAGGTGCGATTGGTGAACTTGTTGCGCTCCCAGAGCATTGTGGCCGACCAGACCTTGCTGTCGCCCAGGACAATGGCCAGGGTCTCGCCGATCATTTGGTCCTCGGTCAGCGGCTTGTCGGCCACACGTTTGCCCGAGTACACTTCGTTGGGATCCGATACCTGCGCAACAGGGGGAGAATCGAGATTGCATTTGAGTTTGAGTTCGAGTTTGGGGAACATTATGGGTTTTTGGGAAACGGAAGAGTTTCCCCCGCCGCTTTTCAATGCTAACAACTTGTGCAAATATGGGCACAGAGAGAGAGAGAGCTGAAAGAAGACTCTCATCCCCATGATTTCCCTAGGTTCTCGATGCTGCTGCTGCTGCGGCTGGAATTTAATGAAGACGAAGCCTTGTGGCGAACCCGTTTTTCGTGTCCTCGCCGCCCAAACTAATGAATTTAGCATTTGGTAATGGTTTGACACTGAATATTTAATTCACGCCGCGCGGCTGGCAACGCAGAATTGCAAATAGCAAGAGCAGCATCATCAGCATCAGCATCGCCAGCGGTAAGAAGCGAGAAACTGGCATTGCAGGAAATTCGAGGAAGTTGAATTACGCGTGGAAAATTATAATTTACACTTGAGAAGTTTTCAAGAGCCGTCGTCGAAGGCTCTTAATAGGTGTCGGGTTATCAATTATTGCTCTTCATTTAGCGTGAAGGCGAGCAGCGGCGATGGGAACGCTATGGATCGTTTGCTTACCTGCAGGAAGGCGCTAATAAAGTTGGCCAGTCGCACGGCCATCTTGGCTTCGTTCTCGAACTGCTCGTTGGCGCCGAAGCTGACATCGCCGCGCAGAATTAGATCCTGCGGATGGAAGCTGTCAAGGGGGGACATAATTGATTAGTAAATTGAAGAAACATTCGTTGGGCAAATTTGGGATTGAGTAGGCTTACTTTTTGCAAGTACGATAGTTGACTCCATGAATGTACTTAAGGACTTGGTCAATATTTAAGTGTTCCGCATGCAGAGATCTTGAGCCGGTGGTGTAGTTGCGATACTCCGCATGCCTGTCCAGATACTTCTGGCGAATGTGGTAGGGGGCCTTCTCCCACTGAATGGGCAGCTTTTGGATCCCTACAAAAGGTCACAACCGTCAATTTGAACTCTACAACGATGCCACGTAAAACCTACAGCCAATCTTTAGGCAGTCGTATTCATTGTAGTACTGCTCTGCCGAGGCCCGCTCCACAATCTCGCCCAGATAGGGTCGCCGCACCACGTTGGGCAGCCGGAAGCCTGGCTTGCAGCGGCACTGGTAGCCACCGCGCCTGAAGCCCCAACCGTGGAGTGGTTCGCATTCCGTGGTTTCTTTCTTGCACCGCGCCGTGTCCGCAAAGTGATTTGGACCCTTGTTGCCCTCGCCCAAAGGGCACTGGTTGATGTCTATGCGCTCAAAGTCCATTTCAAGCACCGAAACAGCAGTGTATCTGGGAGGAATTAACTGGGGATTAGGAGCAGTGTATGAGAAGCCAGATAAAAGCTTACTTCGGGTATTCGATGTGCCGGAACTGGGTGTGTCGTGGGTAAATATCCGCAATGGGCACCACGGCGGCCACCAGCCACTTATTGGACCTGCCGCAATCGAAGTAAGGCCTTGTGAACTTGATGGGTCCGGGGTTCTCCTCAGAGCCAGGCGGTCCATGGAACGTGTACGTCTCGTTGGTGTTGTTCGCATAGCGGATCTCCACCTGGTAGGTGATCTTCGTGTCGTGCCGCCCCTCCACGTTGTCCGGCAGCCAGGCGCGGTACCATTCGTTGATCTTGTACAGGTCGTGGGTGTAGTCCTTGGATATGGAGTCCGGATGATGGGCGCCCAGATCCTGCACATCGAACGTGTTCCACGTGGAGATCTTCTGCAGGTGAATGGGGTCGTTGAAGTCGTCCAGCCGGAAGGTTCGTGGTCCAAATCTCGGGAACGTCTTGTTGAAGAAGCCGCGGTACGAGGACGAATACGAGCTGTTGGGCGAGAAGTACACGGCCGAGGCGTTGATGTGCGGATTGGCGGAGACGTCGGCCACGGTGGACAGGAAGTAGTACATCATGCCGGGATCGTACGTGTCGTTGATGGCGGGTCGAATGAATCGCGACTGGAGGATGTAGCTCCAGAAGAAGCTCCGGCTGAGAGCCATATTCTGCAGATGGAGGAGCGCCGTGCGATTGGGGAACACCGGATTCACGTTCACCTCCTTGATGTCCGGCTTGTGGGAGACGGCGTCCAGGGGCATGAACAGGTCGGAGTGGTGCTGGATGGGACAGTTGTCCGCGTTCACCTTGTCGAACTGCCTCTTGATCTCGTCGAAGGCATCCCGCGCCTGCCACTCGTGCTGCGCAAACACGCCCACGGCCAGTACCAGCATGAAAAGCAGGTAGCTGCGCCCCAAAATCGAC